GGTCTGGAATCCGTCGACTGCCATCGGAAGCAGTGCTCCCTCTAAGCTGTGGAGTCCTGTGAGCAAAGGTCCTAGTTTGTGAGCTGCCGGCACCAAAGTCATGAGCGAGCGATTGGGCTGCGGCATAAATCAGCTGGCCGCAGAGCCCTCCTTCCTGTGCTAAGACAAAAATGTGTGAGCTGGAGGCTAAAAAAAACGTGAGCCAGCTCGCGCTGACTCAGCTTAGAGGGAGCACTGGTTGGAGGTCAGTTCAATTCAATTCAAATACCTTTTATTGGCATACAATATTAGAAGCATTTACCAATAATACAATCCAAAAGAAATTATAAAATAGATAGTCGTGGCTATGTCAGGCCTAACTCAAGTTGTCACAAGCTAGATTTGACCATACAAAAGATGCCTGAATCATAAAATAAATTGGCATTCTAAACTTTTAAACTTAAGTTTTTAGACTTATAAATTAAGAATCATTAATATGGTCAGGGTCACTCTCCCGTTTTATAAAACCATGGAGAAACTTAGCGGTCAGTTCAATGATCTCTGGATCTCGTGAAGCAAGGAGAAATTGTACCTTGATTCTATCCGATTGGCCTGCTACCAACCTAAGGGGGGCTTCTATAAATTCCACTGGTTGGAGGTGGTACGTTTTGGACAGGGCAGCGTGCTTCATGTGTTCTAGATAGAAAACAGACAAAGGCACCTCTTTTGTCAAATCGGATCAAGCACATTGTGAGACTCCCCCCACCCCCAAGACTGGGTATCCCCCCAGAACTACAGCTCCTCTCCGGATTACAGAGATCAGTTCCCCTGGATAAAATGGGCGCTTTGAAGGGTGGACTCTGTGGCCTTGTACCCCACTGAGGTCCCTCCCCCCCAACTCAACTTCCCCAGGCTCCACCCCCAAATCTCCAGGAGTTTCCCAACCAGGATCTGGCATCCCTGCCCCCTAATCCCCCGCTGGTGGCCAGGGTGCACCTGGCAACCCTAGGGCCTACTCCCGTAACAATCACACAGGCTGAAGCCGTCTGTAAATTCAGGCTCCCTTTTCGAACATGACATCTTGAGTGTAGACGTGGGGTGGACTCAGACGGAGCGGTCCCAATCCACCCCTGGGCGTCGTCTCTGCAACGCTGGAGCTGCGCTGGCAACGGGACTTTGGGGAACGTTCATCCCGAGGCGTCCAAATGCAGAAGTCTGGGGGTTTAGATCTAAAGCGCCCAATTTTTTAGATCGACAAAGCGGTTTTCGCTGAGGTTGGGCAACTCAGATGAGTAAAACAATGGGCGCTCCTCTGGGACGGGCCTCCGCAAATCAAAACTGATGCTACAAAGAGCGAGGGGAAGCGAGTGTGGAGATGGAGGAGAATGGCTGCTAGAGGCCCCGTCTTGTGCGGAATGCCACCCACGCGGAGCGATTTTGTTGAACCAGAGCAGATGCGGGCTAAGTGTGTATGTGGCTGATCAGAGTCTCTACTTCTCAGTTGGGTGTGGCGGTCAGGAGGCCGGATTCTAACCTTGGAGAACCGGGTTTGATTCCCCACTCCTTCACATACAGACGCTGGTGTGACTTTGGGTCAGTCACAAGTTCTCTCGGAGCTGTTCTCTCAAGGGCAGTCCTCCAAGGAGGTCTCTCAGCCCCACCTACCTCCCAGGGTGTCTGTTGTGGGGAGGGGAAGGGAAAGGAGATTGTAAGACAGTCTGAGACTCCTTCGAGTAGTGAGGGGAGGGGTATAAATCCGATCTCTTCTCCTTCTTCTTCCAGCCCCCAGTGCCCCCAGCTTCCTGACCTTCTCCGAGATCACGTGCTCGACCCTCAATGTGTCGTGGGGGGAGCCAGCCGCAGCCAACGGCATCCTGCAGGGATACCGGGTGATCTACGAGCCGCTGTCCCCGGTTCAAGGTGAGCAAGCCCAAGGAGCGTCGGAATGGATGGGCAGGAAGGAAAAGGGCACTGGGCGTTTGGCCTTTGGGGACACCCACCAGTCCTTCTTATCCAGCTTCATGGCATGGCTGTACAGGTGTCCAGGGATCTGGTTATTAGGAGATAGCAAAGGTGGTTGTCATGGTCGAATCACTCTCTGTAGTAGGTACAAATGGTTAATCTCTCTCTCACTCTCATTTTGAAGGCTGGAATTGAATACAAATTATACGCAAGAAATATTTAGCTGGTGTGTTGCATTACTGATTAGCACTCTCTCGCTCTCTGTGTCTCTCTATCTCATATGACTACAATTTCCTTTTTTCTATGCCTAAGGTATAACAAAGAAGTGTGTTTAAATGCGTAATGTAGGTAGGATCCAACGAAGCTCTTGTTCCGAAGGAGGATTTATATGAGTTTTACAGGGAGGGGCTGTGGCTCAGTGGTAGAACATCATAGAAACGTAGAGTTGGAAAGGACCTCAAGTGTCATCTAGTCCAGCCCCCTGCAAAATGCAGGGAATTCACCGCTCTCCCTCCCCCAGTGACCCCTGCCCTATACCCACAGGAAGGTGAGAAACCTCCAGGAACCCCGGGCCAATCTGGCCTGGAGAAAAATTCCTTCCTGACCAGCGTTCCCTCTAAGCTGAGTTAGTGTGAGTTAGCGCATGGTTTTTTTAGCCCCCGGCTCACACCTTTTTGTCTCCGCTCAGGAAGGAGGGCTCCAGAGCAAACTCATTTACGCAGCAGCCAAATCACTTTCTCAGAACTTTAACGCCAGTCGCTCAGAAAGTAGGAATTTTTGCTCACAAGACTCCGCAGCTCCGAGGGAGCATTGTTCCTGACCCCAAACTGGTGAGCGGCATTAACCTGGGCAGTATAAGAAAGAACGGAGCACTGGCGCATCCCTTCCTGCTCTCCCTCTCACGATCTGCCTTTGCACGCACAAGACCCCGGGTTCATATCTCTGGCATCTCCGCCTGAAAGGATCAAAGAGTAGGTGGTGTGAAAGACCTCAGCCCGAGAGCCTGTAGAGCGGCTGCCTGCTAGAAAAAGATTGATCTTGATAGACTGAGGATCTAAGTAAGGCCGCTTCATGTGTTCACACGCTACTGTTCCTTAACTTGGTGAATAAAGTCCACAGCAAAACTCCCACTTTGTTGGGTAACTTCTAGGATAAATTGCCTGAAGCCAAGAATCCAAGATCCACCAGATGGACGTAAGTGGTGGCAGTGGAGGAGGAGGAGGAGGATTTCATACCCTGCTTTTCTCTACCCTGAGGAGTCTCAAAGTGGCTCAAAGTGCCCTTCCTCTCCCCACAACAGGCACAATGTGGAGTAGGTGGGGGAGTTCTGAGACAACTGGGACTTATTGATCTGCAAAAGTTACACCCTACCCAACCTCATACCTGTTCACCTGCCATGCTCGGCCTCTCTAACCATTTAGGCAAGATGCCCCAATATTTTTACAATCTCGACATCCCTCTTAATCGCAGAGCTTTTCTTCTGGCCAGGGTTAATGCATTTCCCTCTAGTTGGGGGTAGTTGGGTGTTGTCTGTCTGTATGTTTGTAGTATATAGTATAGAGTGATTAACACTTGGAATTCACTGCCACAGGAAGTGGTGGCGGCTACAAGCATGGACGGCTTCAAAAGGGAATTAGATAAGCATATGGAGCAGAGGTCCATCAGTGGCTCTTAACCACAAGGTATAGATAGGGGCTCTGGGGCAAGGGATGCTCTGTCTTCTTGGTGCTTGGGGGGGTCAACAGTGGGAGGGCTTCTAATGTCCTGGCCCCACTGGTGGACCTCCTGATGGCACCTGGTATTTCTGGCCACTGTGTGACACAGAGTGTTGGACTGGATGGGCCTTTGGCCTGAACCAACATTGGCGTCTCTTATGTTCTTATATATTGTAAAAAAACCAACAATAAAAGTGCACCCTCGGGTACTTTAAAAAAAAATTGAATACTCTATGGCAGATACCATCAAATCCCAAGACAAGAACGGCTGTGCCCCTGTGATCTTCATTCCCTGGACACGATTGAGCATATAATTGTCGAATGCCCCCTGTACGAGCTGCCTCGCAGGAAATTCCTTCTAACTTGGCTTCATCCTAAAAGTTATTTGAGTAACAAGTTAAAATGTCAACTTCTCCTGAATGATTCGATCCCTGAGATCACTAATGATGTTGCCAAGTTTCTTACCAAAGTTCTTAGGGTACAACATTTTAGATAGTACTATTTTGATTGGACTAAATTTGTAGGGAACCTTAGGTTTTACTTTTACGATACAATGTTTTATATACCTTATGACTAATGATATGCCAATAAAGGCCTATGAAAGGAAAGGACAACTGGGATTGGCCCAAGGTCACCCAGCAGGAAGAGGAGGAGGAGTTCCCCAGATTAGAGTCTGCTGCCCTTAACCACTACGCTCTTGGCCGCTACACCACAGTAGAAGAAGATAGTCCCTAGGATACGTCAAACCCAGGCCTTGAAAAGGAACGTGCTTTTCACTTTGGAGGAGGCTTGTAGCTCATCCCAAAAAAATTTTTGCAGCGTTCATTGAAAGAGAACTTTGGATTAAAACTTTGGTATGTGGCAACCTTGTGCTGAAAACTGTTGTTGAACTCCCTGAGGAAGATTCTGAAACAGAAGGATATCTGGACCTCTGCTGGAGGAAGACAGAGCACATGTTATAAAGAGACTTTAAGGAGTCCTCCCTTTTGAAACTTTTATTTAACAGAGGAGGACTGTTATTAATTATAAGGTTGTACTATAGCTTTTGGAGCTGCGGTGGCTCAAGTGGTTAAGACGCTGAACTGCAGGCTGTGGAAGGTCGGTAGTTCAGCAGTTCGAGACCCAGGGTGCCGCAAGACGGAGTGAGCTCCCGTCTCTAGTTCCAGCTCCTG